TTTTTTTTTTTTTTTTTTTTTTTTTTTTTTTTTTTTTTTTTTTTTTTTTTTTTTTTTTTTTTTTTTTTTTTTTTTGTAGAAGTGTTAATACTTTAGTCAACTTTTGGCGTAGTAAATTACCCTGCTTTTTCTCTTATGAAATAAAAAAGAAAACAACAAAAAAAAAAAAATAGGCTTATTAGAATCAACAAAAAATAACAGTCGCGAATTTTACTCAATCATACGTCGTCTTTATTATAAATCTTTTAAATGAATAAAAACAATAACTTTGTAAATATATGAAACGAATAAAATTTTATTATTATATATTATACAGTATTATATTAAATTATTATACTGTATGTTAATTATTAATTAATGTTAATGCGTTAAATTTGTATGTACAGATTCATAATCGGATAAGTGTTTAACTTTTTTACATTAAGTTGTTTAACATTAATTAAATTTAATTAAATTTATTGTTAGTAATTATAACGATAAGTTTTTTTTTTTATTTAAACTGGTTGAGGTTATAAACTACTAACCATATATAATTTAAAATAAACCTTGCGTTTAGTTATATAATTTTATTAGTTATAAATAAAGAATTTTTTGCCTGTCATGATTTTAATCAAATTTATTTTATTTATTTATTTATTTGTCAAACTTTAAAATATTTAATATAAGATTAGTTTTTCTATCTATCCGTTAGTAAAGCACGTAGGCTTTCAACTAGTAATATTTGTTAAATCTTAAATCTAAATAAAATTAATATTTTTACACCCATGTAAATCGGTTTTTTTCAAAACTTTGATTAATAATATCTTGACAATTACCTAATAAAATTTTTTATTTAAATTTTATTTGTTTGGGAGAGTTCCAGTAGAAACAAGCAAATTGTTTTTAGTGAGTTTTTTAAATTTTAAATCAAAATATCTCAACAACTATTAAACCAACTCGAAAAATTTTTTTGGTTTAATTTTATAACTATAGAATTAAAATAAAAAAATTTATTAAGTTTGGTTTAATAGTTGTTGAGATATTTTATTTCAAAGTTTTAAAAAAATTTACTTAAAAATAATTTGCTTGGTTTTTACTAGCACCTTCTATTTGTAGAATTATCATTGTTTACAAAATGGTTGAAAACAACAAGCAAAAAAATTTTTTGTATATATCATGAATACTCAAATACTCGATTACATTAGCAATAATAACTATTACTATATGTACGCAGTGTGTGAAATTTAAATTTTAATTTATGTTCTCAAATGAACATTAAATTTATTTTTACTGTTCTCAAAAAAAAAATATTGTTCTCAATAGAGACCATTTTTTTTATAATAATGTTCTAAAATTGTTCTCAAATTTATATATTAAAAATTATTAAAATTATTAATTTTTCTTTTTGCTTTTGTTCTTTTGCTTAAAATTTATATAATCAAAGCAACATTTATATATAAATAAAGGTAACTAATATTTTCACACCCTTTTTATAATATTTCTACAATACTTTTTTTTAAAACTTCAATCAAAGATATCTTAATGATCATCTGATCAAACAGTGCAGGGACTTTATATTGTAATTAGGCTTTATAAATACAATAGCAATGCAATAACTCATGTTGTGATTAGACTCTATAGCTATCACAGATAGTATAAGAATCTTATTTTTGGTGATTAAGCACTGCAACTATGATAGCAGTACAAGAACTTCATGCTGTAGTTAGGCTCTATAGCTGTGATTATATAAATTAATTAAAATTCAATTAAATAGAAACCAACAATAATATTTTCATACTTTCTAAATATATTAAATATATTGTATAGTTTAAAAAATTTTTTAAGACAAAGAAGCTTTTATATAATCTACCCTAAGCTATACTTTATTAAAAACAAAATAGTAATAATAAATAATATGTAATTTAAGATATAAAGTAAAAGATTTATTTAAATATTTGATAGAATTTAAATAGTGCTAATCACTGTAGCTAATTACTTAATAATAACTGGTACAAATTCAAAATATGCTATAAAAAAAAAATTATTAAATATTATATTTAACTAATAAGACTTTTGAACGATGAATATAAAGTTAACTTTTATACATATATTTTTAGCATGTAGATTCAAAACAAAGTTTCATAGCAATACATACATCGAATTATAGTAATAAAAGTTAATTTAACTTATTTAATTTTATAAATATAAACCAGATACAATAAAAAAGATTTGGGGTATACTCAAAATGATCAAAATGATCAGAACAATTAATCAAAAAATAAGATCTGATTTTTATATAAAAGTTCTTCTTGTTTTAGTCTAAAAAGAAAAAAAAAAGAAAAAGAAAATTTATATAATAACCTCATAACCATATTCTCACGTATTCCACGAATTAACATCAAATTTTTTTTATAAACCAAAAAATATGCACAATAGAAAATTTTGCTTTTTAAAACTTAAAGACAAAAAAAGGTAAACAAAAATCCATGATAAAATCATAAGTCATTCATATCGTTGAAGTACACCTGCCACATCATCTTTAATACGTCTGACAACTCTTTTTCTAACTTCATCCTCTCTTTGGCGAACAACATTTTCTAACATATCAATTTTACGTTGACTATCTTCCAACATTCCAACAGCCTTAACCAATCTTTCTTGAAATAGACTGATAGTTTCTTTAGGATCACTTGATACAGTAGTAGGAGGTAGGAGAAGTTCAGAAAAAGAGAAACCGGGATTACTATTATCTTGACCACCGGGATTACCATTTGATAGATTACTATTTTGAGGTGACCATGGCCAATTGGCACCCGGAGATTGTGATCTATCAAGTTTTTGCTGACCACGTTTATTTGAAAGTCGAAAACTATCGAAGCCTAAATTGGAAGGATCGGAGTTGTGTTTTCGTCTTGAGGTAATACCTTTGTGAGGAGGTGAAGTTGTTGATGTAACAGGGGAAGGGAATTGTTGAGATGATACAATATCATTAGATTGAGTAGATATAGGACCACCACCAACAGAAATACTTCGCCATCGTAATTGAGTAGCAGGACCACCAGAAGGTACGACACGAAAATGACTTGTATCGCTAGAATTATGATGAAGCTTCATGTCTGGCAATGTAGTAGGTGAAGGACCAGGAGTTGGAATATGACCATTTTTCGGTTTACCAAGTTTTGGTAATTTATCTTGAGAATTGAACTTTGGAGAATAATAAAAAAAGATATAAATAAAAAGATAATAGTGATATTAAATGATTAATGGGAAAGAAGATATTGGAGAAATAAATTTTTATAATATAGTAAAAATATAACGTAAAGCTTACCTGAGAATTAACCTTTTTTCGCTTACCAGAATCATCAATTTGCATAGAGTCATTAAGATCTTCCCAGGCATCTCTTTCATCATCTTCAAGTTCATCTTCTTCCTCTTCGCTACCATCAGAATAATTAGTAGCTTTAACACGCTTTCCACGATGATTTTCATGACTGATAGTATCATTATCATCTAATTCTAACTCATCTTCTTCATCATTATCATCATTTTGATTATTATTAGTAGTATCGATACTACTACCAGTATTACGACGAGTATATTTTCTTTTTTGACGTTTACTACTAGCACGTCTAATTAATTTTAAAACTAAATCACTATCATCATCATCAGCACCACTACCAGCGTCAGCACCTGTTGGATTCTTGTAAGGATCCTCATAATATTCATTAGATTTTGATAAAATATAATCAAAGAAAGCATCGACATGAATAGAACGCATCCATTTCTGCAAATAATAAATATACATTTAATATGTTTCATATGTAAAATATGCATAATAGTATAATTGTAAATGCGTATGATATGTATAACATGTAAATATGTTTCATATGTAAAAATATGTATAATTTACATAATAGGTATAGTATGTAAATGTAGGAGATGAAATAACAAAGTAACTCAAAATTAAAATTAAAAAAACAATAAAAATATAAATAAATAAATAAATATATATATTGCATATAACAAAATATATATATATAAAACAGATATATATATATATTTATATGTAACAAATATATATACATAAACAATTAATATACACATATATACATACATATATACATCATACGTATTTACATAGCTTACGATTTAAAAGATGTAATGACGAGTAAGGAAAAAAAATAGAAAATACCTTTAGTCTTACAGCATATTGTTGAATTTTTTGAGGACTTGATTCGTTAGTACGTTCAACACCCAACTGCTGAGCCAATTTTGTCCAAGTCTTTATCTCACCCGAATGATGTTTAGAGACAAGTTGAAAAAGAACCCAAGTATCAAAAGTTTTACCATCAGATTTAGGAACGGAATTGAAAGAACGGAGGAGAGATGATACATCCAAATCGGAAGGAGCAGAAGGATTACAATAAAGAATAAATTCTAAATAACGATCAGCAATATTCGCACGAGTTACATCTTTTTGAGGTAAACCGCGACGAGGAAAATTGGCTTGTAAGGATGATGAACCGGAAGCGGGTATTATTGGTTGTAAAGATCGAGCAGGCGTAGCAGATGCAGTAGGATTCGAGACATTCGCGGATGAAACGGGAGTAGAATCCTTTTTATCAACCGAAGAATCGGGCAAATTCGGAGCATTCGAAGCGACGTTGATCGTTTTAGGAGCACCTCTCGTTTTTCTAACGGGTCTATTAGAGGAAGATTGTTTTGTCGATTTTTGAGGAGATTTTTGAACAGAAGGAGTAGTAGAATTTGGAGTAGAATTTTGGGGATCGTTTGATGAAGAAACGGCAGGAGCGGAAGAAGCGGTAGTAACACGCATGGTTCCATCAGAGAAAAATGACGTAGTCACTTGCGACGGGGAAGAACCTGTGCTCACACCCGCATCGGATTCGTTACGAGTGACATCACACGTATCATCTACGGTGGTCTTATCATCGATTGAACCCTCTTTAGGTGCATCAGAAGAATCTTTATTTAAGGGGTTAAGATTTGTATGATTCTGGTCTGTCGGTGAAGGCATTGTTGTTTAGTGACTAATATAAACAAATGAAAATCAATGAATAAATGATGATATCGATATAAGGAATAAAAAAACGAACGTCAAAAAAAAAAAGAGGAAAGAAATAAATGAAAAACAATTAATTTTTGAACGTTAATTAAAAGAACATAAGAAAACCGAACGTGTCGTGAAAGAGCGCGCTCAACCAAAAAAAAATTATTAAAAAAAGGGATAGAATAGGGGGTGGGATTTTCACGATGAAAATGAAAAGAAAATCATAATACGATACCTGACGGATATTAAAATAAAAAATAATAAGCCTAATATAATTAACAGGAGAAACCAAAAATTTTCAAAAAAATAGACAATTTCGAAGACTCTAAAGAAAAAAAAAATTTTTATTATTAAGATAAAAAAAAAAATAAAAGAAAAAATTCAAATATTTAATACATAATAAAAAAATAAATAAGAAAAAATATATATATATATAATATACATACGTAAGGCTGATAAATTAAAAATTATACCAGTTAACAGAAAGGGGAGACACAAGTTTCACACAGAAATACAATAGCAATGATGATACACCGCAGGACTGCTGAAGGCAGAAAAGAACAGATAAATGTTTTAGCAGGTAAGGGGATGAAATGATTTACCAATATATAACAAAATAATTAATAGTAAGAAAAATGAAAAATATAGGTCGATAACTTTGAGAATACTTTTGTTGAGAGAAAATGAAAAAAAAAAAAAGGGTGAATATACAAAAAAGTCGGGAGTTGAAAATAATATAAGGGAAACCGAAATGAGCACTTGAACGTGAAATTAACCTTTAAAAATTTTAATAGGGTTTTTTAATTTCCTAAAATAGTCACATTAGATATATATTAAGACAAAGGCGCTAAAGTGTTGTATTAGGTTCTTTTTATGTTTAAAATGAGATAATAGTTTAAGTAAGATATAGACTACGGTATATTATTATAATAATAATAATGATAATAATAATAATAGTAGTAATAGTAATAATAATAATGATAATTTAAGAGCAGACCAAACAGCGAAAAATCATTACAATGAATCATCGTCCATTTCTTAGCAAATTGATAAAAACTTGTTCTTTAACAATTATTAAAAAAAATTCGATACGTATAAATATATATAAATAAATAAATAAAATATATATATATCGTCATAAATATATATGTATATATTATTATATATATTTATATTTATCGTTATATATAAATATACATATATTATATATATATATTATATATTATATTTGTTCACGTGCTAATAGTTAAATTAGTTTCGTGATCAGCAGGTCAGGAAAAAAAAAGGGCATGGGAAATAAAGTCAATACATTGAAAAACCGACAAAAGCTACAATTAACGAAGACAGGAAAACAATGATTATTTTTGATCAGACTATAACCTCGATAGTAAATGATAGTCAAGGGAAACGCCAAAACAAAAAAAAAAAAAAAATCGACATTTATAAAATGAGTTTTTGTTTCCATCTCACAATAAAATATACAAAAAAAGATTTAAAGTAATACATTATATAAGCAAATGAATATTTATCATGAGTATGTTTAACATTTTCAAACATTTACTTACATATTCAAATTCTCATTACTCTCACAATTCAGTTAACAATAAAATTGATTTTAAGGAGTGTTAAGGAATTCTTGTATTAATTAGTAAGGGTGGTGCAGGTTGGAGACAAGAAATCAACAACTCGTTAAACGACAGGTTGCGGCTAGCAATAAGACGATGCAGACAATGCACAATGAGTCCTGACTTGAGTAATAATAATTCTGTTTGTGTTGCGCTACTCGGTCATATGCTTACATTTACTTTTATAGTACTTCTCCTATTTATACTCCACGCAATATGATGACATCTTCTTGGATCTTCAACACAGGCTTCCTTTTACAGTCTGTTCATTATTCTTTGTTGTAAGGTCATTGTTCTTTTATTTTTTATTCGAATATATTTTATCTATATTTTTATATTATATTTTTGGTATCTATTCTTTATATATTTTGGATTTTTTTTTTTTTACATATAAATTTATATTTTATTTTTTGGTAATATTTTTTAATACGTATATATTATATATACGTTAATTGTAATGTATGTATATTTTACGTATATATTAGCTATACAAGTATATATATATCTACTTATAATACTATAATTGATAATATATTATACTTATATTGATATGATATACGATAATATATTATACGTTACTGTATATACTTAGTATACTCTAACGCACATACGTATATGTACGTACGTACGTACGTATGTTGCAAACAAAATGCTTCGAATTGGTCCATTTTGGGTATTTGTTTAAGCTCAGCCACTAGTAATGTCTCGCTTTTGTCATTATATGAACTTTATTTATTAATTCTTTAGTTCTATATTATACTAATTTTTACCTCATTTATTGCCTTATTAGCTTTATTGCTATTGACCTCTCCGCGTTCCCTATTGATCTTTCTTTTTTTGTTTTATTTGTTTGATTTGTTAGCTTCACTTTTAATAGCTCTTCGGTTACTATGAAAAAAAAACAATAGTGTAACTGTTTCATCAATTGGTTTAGATAATCATATATTGTTATTTATTGTTGTTTCGGCTTGCTAAATCCTACAGATATTGATAGGTTTTGCTATTTTAAACTTGATTATTATGATTTATCTTTGTTTAAATGAATAGTTCAACTATACGTATTAATTTTTCACACGTAATATTTATCTATTCTTATGTAAATCTTTCTATTCATACCCGGTTAGTAAATTATCTGGTACGTATACGTATGAAAAAATATACTGTATTATATTAGGTTAAGATATATGGTAAATATATACTCTTTATTTTTAATTATATATAGTATATTTAATAAAAAGGTTAGTTTATAATTAAAAAGTAAATATATTTATTAAATTACAAATTTTGTGTAATATATTAATCAACCAATTTTTAAAACCAAAAATTTAGACTTTTGCTATAGTTAGAGTAAGAGTGGGTTTGGAATTGGGGCAAGGATTAGTTTATATCAAAATTTCTTAAAAAATATTTTTTGTTAAAAAACAAAAGATGGTTTTATAATTAAAATTTTAAGATATTAGTTTTTTTTATTGCTTGTATATACACTCTATATACTGTACATATAGAAATTTTTTAAAAAATTATATATACAAAATATTATTTAAAATTTCTAACCAACTCTATAATTAAATTTGGAAAACATACTGTATCAATTTCTTTTTATAGAAGAAAAAGCACCAAATTTTCTTTAATTTTATCTTTGTTTTACCTTCTAATCTTTATTTTTTTATCTTTATGCTAAATATAAATAGCTTTTCACTTACAATTATCTATACAATCTATCTGAACAATTATATTCTGAATCTAATATTTGTCTATTTATTGAACTAGATTTTAAAATTTTAAAATCTGGTTTACCAAGTGAATTTAATATGGTATCTTTACTAATTATATTTTAACTATTCAAATCTAAATAAGCTTTAACTACTCTAGTAAATTTAAATTACAAATAAATTAGTTAAGCTTTTATTTTTGCATATAGTTTATATTTATTTAATTGCATATAAATTTAAATTTTTATTTAGTTTTCTATATAATTATTTATATATTATAGCCTCAGATAGTATTGAGCAAGGAGAAATGCTATCCTCGCTGGTATGAAGAATATTTTATGATCCATTGATACATAAAGACCAAAGCAATACGAAACTGAAATACACAGTGCTTCTAAAAAAGCCACTCAACCTAAGCCAAAATACTTTTAAAAAAACAAAATACTGTCAAGCAGCCCTAGCTTATGCAGACAACACAACTTGGGTAGCCAATAGTAAATCGCAACTAGAGACAACTCTCAGGATCGCAGAAGAGTTTTATGCAATAAATGATATAAAAGTAAACCCAAAAAAGTCAAAGCTAATAGTAATCAATCCATCTGAAAGTGCAAATAATAGAAATATATTATTAGCAAAAGAAAAAGTTGAGGCTAAAAAAAGCAAAATACTTACAAAATTTCCAGGAGTATGATTAAGTAGTAAAGCCCAGTCCACCTTGAATATAAAAAAAACTAAACTCTTAGTTCAATTAACTATCAGGACAATAAGAAACAAGAAGCTCACACTAAGCCAAATGATTTACTTAAACAATATGTACTTGATCTCAAAGCTATGTTATATGCTACAAGTATCTAATTTCTCTAAGAACACTTTAGATGTAATACATTAACCTATGATTAGATTAATAAAGAACAAAATTGAGCTACCCTGCACAACAAGCAACTTCTTATTAGCACATAAAAATCTAAGAAATTGTAAATTTCTTTGGAAAGAGCTTCTAATACAGCAAATAATGAATCTTTAATGTAGATTAAATAGCTCAGATCAGGATAGTCAATTAGCAAAAATTTGAATAAAGCAAGGCTTGTTGAATACAAATATTATTAATAGAAGCTGGATCTTTGAAGCAGACCCAATGTTGACCTCGATCTGAAAAAATAATTTAACATGCTTAATACTGCACAAGGCAAAAGACTTTAATATAAACATCCAACCAATTATTGATCAATGGCATTTTCAAGGAACCAGTCCACAAATCAGAGAAGTCATAGATGCAGCTCTCTTTATTAAGTCATATAAGAATTTAAAAAATCTGGATATTATATTCCAAGATCAACTTTTAGACAAAGAGGGGAAAAGACTTTTAACATAGCAGTAGCTTAAAATAGCAAAAGACAAAGCCAAAGTAGGGCAAAAAGCGAAGTAGTTTTCAGTTATAGAAAATATTTTGCTAGAGAATCACAGGAGCAGAAAGATCAAAGAAATATATCAAATATCAGAACCAAACAATCTTGTACCAATAATGCCAATAGTGCCAATCTCATCAGACAACAGAAAAAGAGAATAGATCTTGTTAAACAAAGAAAATGAGGATTTAGAGATAAGAAAGATAGTTAAAAAAGGCAAAAGC